GGGGGCTTACAGCCTAGTTTTCTCAGAATCCTTCAAAGACTCCCAAACTGGCTTAGAATAAAACCCCTAACATCCTTAGACCTTGCTCAGAGGTTACCTGGTTTTAGAGGCTTTTCCTAACCTTGCTTTATGACAAGCCTCTCCTCCACTCCCACCGCCTGTGGTCCTTGGACTGTTTACCCTGTTCTGTTTCTGTTCACTGCGTTTGTCACTGTCAGATCTGTTACATGCTCACTTGTCTGTGTATTGATTGTCCCCCTCCACTCTATGAGGGAGGGAGCCTTATCACTGTAAGTCCCCAACACCTAGAACAGGGTGTGGCATGGGGCTGATGCTTAGCAGATATCTCTTAAATGAATGGATGTAGACAAATACACAGGCAGGTATTTGTGAGGGCCACAGAAGTGCCTAAATGGTGAACCTTAAAAATGTGTCCTCCCAGGAAATCTACTAGAAGTATCTTCTAAAGAAGTGATTAGAAGTGTAGACAAAGAGATAGGCTGGCCTAAAACAGGAATCACTTAAATCATCCCCATCCCCAAGACGGGAATGTTAAATCTTTAAAAGATATATGTTTGTTTATTAAAAGCAGTTGTCTCTGAACAGTATAAGGACACACAGTTTTTGTCTGCATCATGCTTTCTTTGTGTCCTAAGCTTTCTGTTTGCCACCCTTCCTTCAGATCAAGCTTCAAGAGTCTCCTGAAGATATGCCTGCAGGGCAGACACCTCACACTGTCATCCTTTTTGCTCACAACGATCTTGTTGACAAAGTTCAGCCTGGGGACAGAGTGAATGTTACAGGTAAGAAGGGAGGTTTGTACTAACAGGATAGGATGTCTGTCGTACTTTTTGACTCAGTCATGAATTCATTGGAATGGGGTTAGTTCTGCCTCCAGTTGTCTTTGAGACTATGGGTATATCCCTTTTTTCCCACCTTTTTAGTTTAGTACTGTGGCCCAACAATATGAAATCTTTCAGTTCTTCCCAAAGTTGGATTTTGGAATTAGTGATCACTTGCCTCTTGCTATCTCAGTGTCCCAGAGCTGTGTGTGTATCTGAAGTGGACAGTATTGTGGTCATGTGAGCGCAGCCTCCAACAAAGCTGGTGTTGGTAAGATGTGAGCTGCGCCAGCAACTCAGGGAAGTATCATTGGCCAGCTCTGGTGTTTAAATAATTTTCTACTTCCCAAATGTATAGCTAAGGGTTAACATTTGTTCATTATAGAGAACGGGTCAGGGGATCTTGTTCACATGCTCAGAAGCTGAGATTCAGAGACATGTAGGTAGCTGTAGTGCAAGTGCTGCGGTAGATCACAGCACCAGGATCCAGATCCTTCTCTAGTCCTGCCAGACGAGTGAGTACTCTTTCCACAGCAGCACCTGAGGATAACACGTAGGCTTTGGTTTCTCAGGGGATGTTTGATGGCCATGTGGGTTTGAGTCCTGGAGTGCCTGGCTCATGGGCGGGGCCTGGGGCCACAGTCCTTCTGCTCTTCAGTAAATCAGGACTTACCCTATTTCTTACCCAGTGAGAAGTCCAGCAGTTGTCACCAGCAATCTTCAGTCATGTTGTTTTGTTTTGTTTTGTGGTGGCTTGCCAGTACAGGAGTTGAACCCTGGACCTTGGTGTTATCAGCACCATGCTCTAACAAACTGAGCTAAAGGCCAGCCCATTAAGTTGTAAAAGTACGCATAGTAGTTGAAAATTAGAAAGAATGTGTAGTCTTTAGTGAATGATATGTGTGTGCAATCTCAGTACTGCCACCCAACTGCTCTGAAACCTTTGAAAAATTATTTAATCCAATATTTTAATTTCCTCAACTGCAACGTGGAGTTAATGTGATATATGTGGAAGTATTTGGGCAAAGGGGCTGTGGGAAATGCTGTGTAGATGTAAAATAAGTGTTATGTGACGATCGTGGCAGGTACTATAAAGGAAAATAACTAAACCATTTTAAACGTCATGAACATACTCATCCATCTCTAGTCTATCTTAGTATGTATTCTAAGATGTAACATATAAACTGGCTTTTATATTTCAAATAAGAATTATATTGACCTGTTAAATGAAGGAAATGGCAGTGGTCTGTACCATCATGTTGTGAAAGCCGTGAGAGAGAGTTTGGATGTTTTCCTCAGAAAGCATCAGGAAACAGAATTGGCCTGGAGCAGCCCCTCACCCAGAAACCCCTTCTCTTAATAGAAAATAGTAATTTTTCCTTCACCTTTGACACAGTAGACTGCCTAGGAAATAAATTGAGTGGTTTTTGCAAGATTTGAGCTTTTAGAATTTCTTTTCTTTCCAAGTTTTTGGCGTGGGATTTTAGCATTTTGTTGCAATAAAATAAGTGCTAAGCAGATTCTGTACACTCAGCTTAGGGAAAGGAAAATAATATTTATTGAACACAACCATAAGCCAGGCATTGTGTTAGAGGCAACATAATTCCATTTCACCCTCAGAACAATTGTATGTGGTGTGGTTACACTCAGACAGCTGCCTCGGGCCACAGGGAAACATGTTTTTAGATCCACCGCTTACAGAAACCCTTTCCTGATGCCGTCTCCCGACTCAATCAGAAGGGGCAGGCACTTGGTCTGCACCGGCTGCTGAGCCCTTGGGAAGATGCGGAAGGCTAACGAATGTCTTGTGTTTGTGCCCTCTGCCCTCAGGCATCTACCGCGCGGTGCCTATCCGGGTCAATCAAAGAGTGAGCAATGTGAAGTCTGTCTACAAAACCCACATTGATGTCATTCACTATCAGAAAACGGATGCAAAGCGTCTGCATGGCCTCAGTGAAGAAGCAGAACAGAAACTTTTTTCAGAGAAACGTGTGGAGTTACTTAAGGAACTTTCCAGAAAACCAGATATTTATGAGAGGCTTGCTTCAGCCTTGGCTCCAAGCATTTATGAACATGAAGATATAAAGAAGGTAACGATGGATTTTTGACTTGGGGTTGGAATTCACGGTTCTTTGGGATCAAAGGGTGTAAACATCTATCCCGGCCACTGTAAAGGGTGAGAGTCATTGCCTGCCTGACCAAGCAAAGGCTGTCGTCCTCACTTGACATTGTTTGACAATCGCAGTGTTGCTGTTTCCTTATCTCTGCCCCAAACTTACATTTCCAAACATAAGAAGAGGCCCCATGGGTCAGGGTAGGGACGTATGTGGTCAGCGTTCTGGCATGCTGATGTGTGCGTGTGTGCAAACTGGTCAGTGGTAACTTGGAGTGACTGAAGCACTTTCACATGCTTTTTTATACCTTCTTTCAATTTCTGAATTGTAGTTCCTTATTTGTAGAGTAGAAAAGTTCCTCTGCAGTTTAAACTAAATCTCAGTTACTCTGCAGTAAATGAATGGTTAGAGGTGTTTTTGTGTTTGTCTATTTAGGGAATCTTGCTTCAGCTCTTTGGCGGAACAAGGAAGGATTTTAGTCACACGGGGAGGGGCAAGTTTCGTGCTGAGATCAACATCCTGCTGTGTGGAGACCCTGGCAC